AAGTTTGAGAGTAAATGAAGAGATAGACGTTATAAGAGTTTTCTCTCTTATAAGATCAAAATGTGGCTTCACTCTAAATTAGTTGAAGTTTAATATAATTTTTAAATATTAAAAAATTTAATAAAAAATAAAAAAATAATACACATATTTAAAATTCACATTTCACTTGCCAAGTTTATGATTTTATATTTAGATAGGATCTGTTCTGTAGATTCAAACAAGTTTGGTGAATGAATTAAGTGCAAATTTTGGAACCAATTGTTTTGGTCTACCTTACTACAAGTGGATTTTGAATAATTATCTAACATCTACTTCTTGTCTCAAGAGTCCAATATTCAAACCCATTGGTTTGGTTTTACAGTAAAAAAAACCTTTGGTTTGGTTTGGTGGTTCTAATATTTCCAATGAATTGCACTTCTTAAAACTTCATTAGATTAATAGAACAGGGCAAAGAAAGTGTATTAATGTCCAAATTCATCTATGCTAGACTTTGACTTCATGTTAACACTTAATATGGAATAATTACTTCTGTTTTTATATTTTGATAATAAAAATTTTATAATGAATCTTATACTGTTTATATAGTATCAAATGAATTAATATATATAATATCATATGTTATATTCAAATTAAAAGAGCCAATAAAAATTACAATGCTAGTTAAAGTGGAAGATGTTTTTTAACACATCTAATTATAGGCTATATGAAACTAGATAACCCTTTTTATTTTTCAAAATCCTTTCAACTCAATTGAAGTTCCAAATTTAAAATTTTTAACTTAAAGTGTCAAATTTTTAATTAGTTAAGCCATTCCAGAATGGCTTATAGTGTAAGATTTCATTGCTAAAAAAAATATCAATAGATTATTTTCCTAAATAATTTCTTTTGTACACGGGGAAGAATCACAAAGGCAAATTATTAACACTACTAATAAAATACATTTTTATGAGATATGAAACAGTGATTCGATATCAATAAAACTTTTATATATTATATTATAAAAAAGTATTTTGTATATCGTTTTCTTAAATTGTTTTAGATAATGTGTCTAAAAACTCAT